TGATCAATATGAATATAATGTTTCTCACTTAATATCCTTTTAGATAGAAACAGAGTGCAAAGTTACATTAAGTTATTATATATATATATAAAAGTTCAAAGAAGTTAAAAATAATAATGAAATATATCTTTTAAATGCTGTAGTACTTTTTCAGAATGTTGTGCAAGAGTGTTCCCAAAATCCAAGGTTGCAGATATGGAGGAAGTCTTAATTGACTTCCTAAAACAGGTCCCACACAAGCCAGGAGCACCAAAATATAAGGTATTTTTCGATTGAATAAAATATCTTATACGTTTTAGTGGAAGGTTTGTCTATTTAAAAGTTTATGTTTGCAATTTGAATATCAATACACAAATTTGATGAAATTAATGTCTTTATACTGCAAGTAAAACATTGAGATTTACATTTGTAGCAATTGCTTTTGACATATTATTTATGTTTTTTGCTTGTCTTAATAATTACTTGGATTGCAAAAAATAGCATAAGTTTCCCTTTATAGATTTAATGAAATTTGCATACATGAGAGCTTGATTAAAAGGGAGTACAACAACTAACTGGGGTTAAGAGTTATTTGCTAAACAGGGTGCTTGGGAGTACTGATCTTGTTAACAAATTACTTTTGATCATTTCAGAAACCTGTAAGAGAAGGACAGACGATATCGCAAGAAGAATTGGAGTCTGAACAAATAAATCTGTTTAAAAGTACCTTGCTTCTCTTGATTTTAGTCCTGTCAATACTGTTTCTTTTTGTTGCAGAGTAATTTAAGATGTTTATAAAACTATATTCCAATTTCTGCAACGTTATAAACTAGATCATTGATTGAAGTTATTATGTCAAAGGTCTCGGTTTAAGATATATGTTATCTCCTTGTCAAGGCAAGAACCTTATTGAATTGACTTTCAAGGTCACAGGACCAAGTTTAAACAGTGAGAGGATGCAAGCTTTACTTTGGCATAGTTTTTTTTAAGAAAAAATATCTTCCTTTAGAGCTTATGGTGTAATGGTGAGTGTGCTCGCCTCAAGTGCGGAGGTCGTGGGTAGGAACCTCGGCTCGGCCAAACCAATGACAATAAAATTATTATTTGTTGCCTCTCCCCAAAATGAGTTGATGTGAAATGTCTTCCTGCAAACTTGCCTTGTGGGCTAGAACCAAAACATCTGGCACAACATGTTGGTCTATTACAATACAGGGCTAGTATTGATTTCTGATAATCATGTTCTCATTCAGAATATGCATCTGACTTGCCACTGGTCGTTAAACAACCAACCTTCCATCCAAGCTTATGGAAATGTTACTTTTTCTTCAATTAAATACGTGCATTACAAATAAAGAAATGGATGAAATACAAAACACTGCACAATCAATTATATATTTTTAGACCAAAGTAATGGTGGTAGCATTAATGCATCATTGTTACACAAATGTGTTAAAAATGTTTGTTGGAGGTTGACAGAAACATTTTTCATAAAACCTTATTTCAACGTTTCTCTGAATATTCCAAAATAACGTTTCTTCAAAATGTTTTTGAAACATTTATAAGAGTCTACAAATTTTGGTTTTTAAAACGTTTTAATAAAACTTTCTAGAAACCAAAACAAATCATTTTTAAAACGTTTTTAAAATGATGAATTGTTTGCTGGGAGAAAACTCAATGTTAATATTCATAAAAAATACAAACGACAGAAAGCTTTTTGTGAAGTTCATTGAAAACAGAAAGAAAAAGAAAACGGAGTACGAAAATACAAAGATATATGAAAAATCTAAAATCATCATGATCATCTACACGAGGATGTAGCAGGTCTCAGTCATGTCCCGAATCAGGCCGTAGATCTAAAAGTGTGACAGAGATTATTTCAAATATTACAAAATTGAATCGTGTAAAGTATGTCGATCGATATACGGATGATATATTTTATCGTCATTTAAATATGGCAAGTGCAAAATGCTTCAAACAGACGTTTGCTCGAAGAATTTGATTTATTGATTTTGTTTAGCTGGTGGTCAGTTGCAGATACTACATTAATTAGTGCACCTTATATCTAATATTTGGTATCTAAAATAACATCGAGTGCCAGCTATTACAATAATTGGTACACCCTTTATCTCAACATTTTTTATGGTCGGTTATACAATTTAAGAAATTAATCCATATCTGTTTGTTTTAATCTACCGCATAATTACATGTTTTGACTCCAGCAGAGTAACTCGTCGATATTGTATAGAATTAAGGCAATTTGTACATTTGTCATTTCGGGGTCTTTTAAAGCTGACTATGCGGTATGGGTTTTACTCATTGTTGAAGGCCGTCCGGTAACCTATAGTTGTTTATTTCTGTGTCTTTTGGTTTCTTGTGGAGAGTTGTCTAAATGGCAATTATGCCACATCTGATTGTTTTGGCACTGACATCATATTACGCGTATATAAATATTCTTTAATGACTAAGGACTAATGGTTCTGTTCTAGACCTCATATATTCGAGATTTTGTAAGTGATTACACGAATTTTTGAAACTCATCAGCCTACTCAATTTGTCCAATGAAATTCATGAGAATAGACAATTCTTTGCCTTTATATTTGCTTTGTGAATGCAAAAAATACAGAAAACTGCTTTACCTCGAAAAATCATGCTTGATGGCATTGACAAATAGAAAACAAAATCCAGTTGAAATACACAAATCAACCTTTTAATTAAAATTGTCTAAAATTGTGAAATAAACCCCTATTTAACTGTTAGTTTCTCAACATTTTAAATTTCTTACTAGCTTGTCTGAAAATGATAATATTCAACAAATGTATAATAATCAGTGATCCATAAAAAAATCTTTAAGAAGGTTATCCTTAACCAAAATTTGAAAAAGGGGGTTCACTGGTATCCCCTGTTTTTCACTGGACGTTAAGATAGCATCACTTGATCATTGTGTTGATTAATCAATCAATCATTAACAATGTTTAAGTCCTCAAAATTTATTGGCTACGGTCGTCTTGTTAGCATTGAACACATTCTAGAACTAAGTCTTGCTATTTGTTTTGGGAATGTGTTAATTTTCTAAGTTTTCATTTTCATAAACCAACAAATTTTTAATTAAAGTTGATAAAATTTTTGATAAGTAATGCTGATCCGTGCGACGTCGAACGTTAGACTAGAAATAGCTAAGAAGTGATTATCATTCTGAAATTTGTTGATATTTAAAATCCGACAGTCATAAGTATCGCAGAAAATTCTTTACTAAAATGTTTAGAAATCAAGGTTTTCGTTGGAGAACAAACAATATCTATGCATGTGCTAAATTGAATTCAACATATAAGAATTAGGTATATTGTGAATAAAAATTTAGGTTTTGCTAGATTGTATTCAGTATATCCTAAATTACGTATATATTATATCTAATTTAAACTGTGCTAAACTAAGGTCTTGATATGCTAAAAATATCAGGAAGGTATTTATGTAAAATTAACTTATTCTTAAGTATTATTGGCAATGAGAAAATTATCCACCCGGGAACACATGCCGTAGATGTTAATAATTATAGGTCGCCATTTGGCCTTGACAGTAAGCAAAACCTATAACGCATTGCCAGCTGTAAAAGGCCCAGACACAAAACAATGTAAAATAATACTAAAGAAATAAACAACAGCCTGATTGATGCACAATACCAAACGAAAGGCAAACATGTTACACTGTTTCTTAAAACCACAACTGAATGAATGGTTCCTGATTTGGGTCAAAACAAACAAAGGTATTTGGGTTTAAATCTGTATGCATTTGCTCAACACTTCCTATTACATGATACAGCAGTGCTACATCAGCACATAAGAATACATTGTAATCATCAATTGAAAAATTCTTGACACGTCAGATGTTTGCAAAAAAAAACCAAAAAAAAACCCCAAAAAAACCCAAACAAAACACGAAAGACATAAAGTAATAAAAAGTAAGGTGGCATTTAGCAATGTCCCTCATTTAACCCAAACACAAACAACTGACTGACAAGAAAAGTATATGTTTGACGTGCATTTGAAATAATACGGATATAATTAAAAGAGGATTTTCCAAAATATAACAATGTTTAAAGAGATAATGCTAAAATATACATTGAGCATAAAGCTTAAATCAAATTAATAAATTTTAAGCTTGTGTTAAAAGGGTGTTTGAAGTATTAGTATTTATTACACCCAATTCTAATAAGTGTATGTTAAATTTTTGACATGCTATCCGTCATTCCGTATAGAGTGACAGATATTTTAATAGGAAAGCAGTGTATAACTTTCATCAAATGTTATATAAAAAAATTATGTGTTTATAACGTTACTTAAATTAAGGGACACATATAATGCGAACACGATCCATTTTGATATTAAGGTCAACATGACAATGGTGAAGGTCATACTTACTAGAAATAGGCCGAAATATGTAAAAGCCAAGAGTTTCCGGGTGCTTTGTCAAATAGTAAATATGGGATTGCAATTTACTTGAATATATATCCGCCTATTATAAAAGGAAGATACTTTTAGTTTTGATGGCATTTTGTAAAGGAACAAGGTCATAGTTACTTAACATATACCAACATTGGTACCGAAAATGGTATTCAGGTGCTAAATAAAAGACAATATCAATAATATGGCAACCCTCCTTTCATTCAGATCAATATAAGGAGAGGACGATGTCCATTGGCATTGGAAGTCAATATGGTAAATTCATAGTTACTACAGTAAGACATGTGTTTATCTAAAGTATCGACCGAAATTATAGAATAGAAAAGAAATTAGACAATCAAGTAAACAGAAAAAACTCTGACAGTAGGTCACAATTAGCATATATATTGAAAAGAGGGTCCTAATAGTTTCTTAGTGTACGTTAGTATGAATTGGCTTGTTATTTCGATGAGGATAATACTTCAAATAGCCTCATTTTAAACATATATTATCGAAATCATTTTCAGAAAAATCTGTAAAAGATTAAAATTTTATCCAAAACTCAAAATATTGTTTTTAACAAACCTTTTTCAAGTTTGGTGGTATCTATTGTTTCATTTTGGTGGTCAGGACTGGTAACAACAGCAACATTGGTCTGTGCTTGCTTGACTTCCTGTCTCACGAAATACGTATCACTTTTAATGGTGTTTACAACTATTTCACCATATAATCTTAGAATATGTCTGTTGAAAATTTTCAATGAATTGTCCGTTTGTAAAGAGATGTTTACATCTGATAGTTTATTGTTATCTTCCATAAACTGTATGAAGTTGTCGGTATCTATTAATTGATGTTCAACCTCCTTACAGAAAAGGAAAGTTTGTAGGTCAGATGCATGCTGCTTTATCATTGCAAGGCTCGTTTGAAGTTCACCTATCTCCTTTTCTTTCCGCTCTACAGATTCTACAATTTTGTTGATTTTAATTTTTTCGTCATTTTCAATTATTTGAAGCTCCTTAAATAATTCTCTTCCAAGGCGATCAAAGTACTCATCAATTGCTTGCCTAGCTATTTGAATTTCCTTCTCAATATTCAGTCTGTGAAGTTTGAGAGATGATAGATTTCCAGCACGATTCTGTTGAATCCTCTTTAAATTTTCAGCAAGTTCCTGCAATGCATTTTCGATTTTTAACACCATGTTTGACGACTTGATGTTGGAAACGACATAATTTTTTTCTGTGAGATCTTTGCAATTACTATGGTTATCAATGAGACATTTTGTACAACAAGAACATTCGTGTTTATGACAATAAGCTTGGTATCGTTCACCATGTGATTTACAGGATTCTGCAATTTGAAGGACAGCCACACCTAAGTTTTTTAATTCATGTACTTGTATAATACCATGACGTTTCGATGCGCTGATCAGAAAATGGCGTTCTTCACATTCCTCGCACAATCCTTCATTACATTCAATACACCATACTGTAGATGGTTTAGAAATATTGATGGAATCGCATATACCACATGTTGAGGACTTACTTGCCATTTTTCTATAAAAGAGTTGATTGAAATTGAATGCGCATTACTACTTGTACTAATATATCATCTTGAGCTGATTAACACGACTGGTGGCAATATCACAGAAGGAATTTCTGACCCTTCTGGAGAACGTGCGTTCATTCATATTTCGTAAAATAGAGTTTATGATGCTTTTGCTGTAGACTCCGTTTTATTATTATATATGTTCTATTATTTTCAAATGTCTGTGTTGTTTATAGGAGTTACGGGTTTTTATATCACTTTTGTTATTGCTATCTCGTATATTAAACGTAAGCTTTCCAATAAACCTGCAGGAAAGCAGTTGTGATTGGTGAGGAACTTAGTATATTATGCGTATAAATAACATAACAACGGACAACCAACTGTAAGCATAGTACCAGAATGAATAAAAGTTGTAACTAAGACGAAAGGCGAAAGATACCAAAGGATATTTGAACTCATAAGTCGTAAATAGACTGAAAACGCCAGGGTAAAAAAAGAAAATCTACAATAGGACAAACAACAGTATGCCAAAAAGTAAAATCACAAAAATACTAAACTGCGGGGAAAATTCAAAAAGTAAAGTCCCTAATCAAATGGCAAAATCAAAAGCTCAAACACATCAAACGAATGGATAATAACTGTCATATTCCTGACTTGGTACATGCATTTTCTTATGTACAAAATGGTGGATTAAATCTGGTTTTGAAGCTAGCTAAACCTCTCACTTGTATGACAGTCGCATCGAATTCCATAAAATTGACAACGTTGTGTGAACAAAACAAACGCATCATATAACAGTGGCATGATAACCACAAAAGACGCAAAGAAATATTAAGCTCAGTCCTTTCTTATTGAAAAACATACATTGCGTACAACGAAAATGTAAAGGTGGAAATAAATCTCACACAGTCACTTAGCCTAATAGACGGTTTTTGTGTTACAAAATTATTGTTTTTGGTCTCACTTCGACTTATTTGTTTTAAATCTTTGTATCTCCGGCATTTTATTTATTGGTACTTGATTTCAATTTATATACGTTGCTTTACGTAGCTTTACGCAGATTAACGTGCACATGGTTAATGGAACAGAAAGCCAGTGTTGTTTTCCAATGAAATGAAACTTTTCGTGCAACTAAAATATCTTTTCTTATGAATAATCTTGAGATTCGTGTATTGTAGCACATATTATAGCTGTGTAAAACTCATACTGCAGTTGCGTTTATTTTATTTGATCTAATTGTATTATTTAAATTTAGCCCTGTAGTGTTGCCTTTATATCCTGGTAAGTTTCAAGTCAAGTTGGGTATACAAATTGTAGAAGTATAATGGTAAAATATTTGTTTGTTTTGTTTCAAAATGTCTAAACAATGATGCATCACAGGTACCAGTGCAATTTTGGATAATTCTGTAGGTATGAAAATCAGAAGGAAGTTAGGCTATTTGTTCATCAAATTCATATATAGTACTTGGTCAAGTATAGCACAATACCATGAATCTTAAAAGGGCATACCATTTATGTTTTCCCATCTTAATTTTCCGGTATCATGCAAATTATGTTTTTTTTTAAATTTGAAGAATTCATGGTTTAAAATTGTGGACACAACTTATAACTAGAATCTATGACAAACGTGAATATTCAACTTTCAAATTGTAAACCCCTTTCTCATCTGTAACATACCATCGTATGGCGTTCACATAAGAGCAATCGACTGAAATAGACACACTTAAGTATTACGGTCACCATCACGAATTAAATGACCGAAACGATGTGTTTGTGTCTCAACTTCCAAGGGACGTGTTTTCAACGTCTCTTTTTTTCTATTTCTGATTTCTGAATAACTGAGTGTGAATTCGCAATACGTTAAATGCTTATATTGAAGAAGAAACCTGGTATCCCTCCTTTTAGAGTTCATGCAAACTCGGTTTTTGTTTGTAACCTTTAATTATCTGCTAATCAATTTACTCTACTTAAACATCAGTAAATTAACGTGTCATTAAAGAGGGTCAAAAGATACCAGAAGGACATTCAAACTCATAAATCGAAAATAAACTGACAACGTCATGACTTAAAAAGAAAAAGACAAACAGACAAACAATTGTACAAAACACAATATAGAAAGCTATAGACTTAGCAGCACGGACCCCACCAAAAATCGAGGATGATCTTATGTGCTCCGGAACGGTAAGCAGATTCTGTCCGAGATTTGAGACCTGTCGTGTTGTTCGTTTTAATATGAATCAGGTAACAAGTCTAATTCGGTAGGTCACATTCGTGAAAATTTATTGTGACTAAAATCATATTCTCGTAACATTTAAAATACTTGACACTTATTTAAGGTAAAACACCTGGATATACACCTATATTTTCTTTAAAAAAACCATACGATTGTTATTTAATTACGCTATGTCTAACATTATTTTCTCGCACAAAAACTTTGTATAAATATTGAATTTCAACTTTTATGGTGAGGAATTTCACGGATTATAATTTTGTTCAAACACTTATAAAAATTCAGCTGGTATCAATATTTGATTATAGTGATGTTGATATGGAGGGCTCTAATTGAAAGAGACTTTTTATGTGTTTAGTAAATGACAAAAGAAAATATAAAAAGAACAGAAGGTTATCTTCTAATGATATTTTTTAGAATACGTTCTCAAAGTCTTTCACTTATTCAACTATGCATTGAAACAAAATATGAAAAGAAGTAATCTAGGGTGAAAAACTTGAACAAAAGTAATCCATAGGCTGTAAATGTCGAGGTTTGAACATTCAAGCATACATATTTGATTATATGTTCTTTATTAAATCTTATATTTCTCAGATCTGAAGCATGGTTTAAAAATCTAATAACAAGTAATCAAAAAGTTATTTGTCACAGAAAATTTTCAATAAATTTGTTATTGTTTCAAATTGCTTAAAATTGTCCAAGCTCATATTTTATATGAGGTATTTGTCTTCTAAACCTAAGAAAAACGTAGAGATTAAAAAACATCTGTTATCAATATGATGTTAGCAAAAAAGCACTTTACTCTCGGGGAGTTGGCAGCTGGCACAACCCCAAAGACTTTTTATTCTGAAATTTTTGTGTGCATTTATTACTGAGATGGTTGAATAAAAGGCAAACATCCAAAAGTAACTATTGCAATTTCAAGAAATGCAGCTCGCAAATAGTTATATCAAAGTTTGAAAATTGAAAGTTATTTTTTGGCGAAACATATAGAATATTTAACGAAACTATATTATACAATAATAAAAACATCGCAATTTTTGTGTAATTTCCATTGTTTAATTTCAATCTGCCTAAAAACGAAAGATACACTTTAACTCGGTTAGATTGATTGATTGATTGGTATCTAACTGCATTTTTAGCATTATTGTGCTATTTTGTGGCGGTCACTTCTATTGGTGGAGGACGCCAGAGCGCCTTAGAAAAACAACCGACCTTCGTTACTAAAACTTTTAATCATAGACATTTCAGAATAGAGTCGATTCGAACTCGAAACCTCATTGTTGACAGGCCGATGATAGAGTAGTTTTACTACTTTGACAACTCAGCCATCGAGGCAGCTTGACTCCTGCATTGAACATTTGATTAACTATAAGAATCAGATATGTCTGATCAGATCAATTCTCGGTTTGTTTTGACTTTTAAAAATATTGCTGTTGAGGTCAAAATTCCCTGACAAATTTACTTTCTATCTGACGAAAACACAACTCTTCCGAGAGAATTTTGACTTCGTTAAGAATGTCAGAGTCATGAATAAAAAATCAAATATCCTATTATTACAAATTTTTGGTTTTGAGCTATGTTAATGTATATCTGTGTTTTGCTATGTGTTAAGAAATTGCTATACCATACTGAATTAAACTGAAAGTACATACCTGAATCTGTCTTGACGTTAATGAAATGAAAATTTTAAAAAATTTGCGAAATAACCCAAGTGTGAAATAAGCTCAGATGAATTTGGTCCACTCCTATTGCTAAGAAAGACATTTCTGTTTGGATGTAAATAGAAAATTGATGATATGAATTAAAATCATTACATTTATTATAAAGTCAATGTAATTCCGCCTTTTAGTATGGCACTACAAAATTACTAGAAACAGTTCATACTTACCCATCGACAAATTGTATTATGCTGTCGCCTTGTTCGCCTGGTATGAAACAACGATATTTTGTCATACGTCATTTGTTTTTTTAAAGTAAGATTAAACTTTAAATTTTTCCAGGTGAAACTACCTTTAGTAGAAATAACAAATCAGGACTAAGAGGTACATATATTCAACCTTTCTTAATAACGTGTACTATTCACACAATGTAAAAACTGATGCAACATATTTTTTTTGTTATTACATATGATCGGAGACTTATGATACAAACATATTATACCAATAAATACGACAAAGGTAGCATTTTAATAAGTGGATATCTCAAGATTTACTAAGATCAAAGGTAGTTACATGTACATTAAAGTGATCTAATTTCAAGATAAATAAAAAGTGAAACAAATGGAAATAAATATGAAATTTTTCTGCTTCAGGTAAAACTTTACTTAATTGTCTGAAATTATTTCATAAAAAATGAGATAAAATACAAAATGGATAAGCAGCTTTTCAAAAACAGTCTTTGGTTCTTTAAGAAAATATTAAAACAGAGATGTTTCTATGCGTTACTCTACAATTTTCACGCATAATTGAAAAAGTCGACTACATTACCTATTTAAACAAGGCTTTAACTTAAAAAAAGGGGAATGTTGCTACAAATTCCATGTTTTAATTTATACTTTATCTAACTTTGATAACACTGATTTCCACATCAAATACATCAGAGAAGAACCCATCAAAATGCTCGACTTATATTATCAACAACACATTTGTTGACTTTGTTGGAAGTATATCTTACTAGACAGATTATACGGTATTCAATGGCTTATATTTGTGCACCGCTTGTCGGCAATTTTGTTCTTAACAATATATTTTTCGTTGAATAATATGAAATAAAATCAAATAATTCGTAACACTATTTTTACGTGTAGAAAACGTTGTGATAGTACTGTTTTATAAAATAATTTGAGTGTATTCAATTGATAAATTGACGCAGATGGACAATAACGCGTGAAGTTGCTGCATCGGTCGTGACATTATTGCCCAATTTTTTCAAGTATATGGTCCTTTCTATGATCTCAATATATAAGGCTGTCAGAAGAAAGAAAAACATACAAATTTGCTGATAATAACTTGAAAAAATAAGGTCCTGGCTTACAATTTTGTTAATAGCAACAGTTTCCTATAGTTACAATGTAGTGTTATCTGTTTTGATATTACAGTTTAATAATTATACATTCGCTTTGTGAGTTATTATTATTTTCTTGAGAAAAGTAAATAACAAAAATACTGAACTCCGAGGAAAATTCGAAAAGGAAAATCCCTAATCAAATGGCAATATCAAAAGCTCAAACACATCAAACGAACGGATAACAGCTGTCATATTCCTGACTTGGTACAGGCATTTTCGTATGCAAATGCACGTAAAATCATTTCGAAAAAGATTTTACGAATGCCATAGATTAACAAAAGTTCTGCAAATGCACGTAAAATCATTTCTAAAAAGATTTTACGAATGCCATAGATTAACAAAAGTTCTGCAAATGAACGTAAAATCATTTCTAAAAAGATTTTACGAATGCCATAGATTAACAAAAGTTCTGCAAATGAACGTAAAATCATTTCTAAAAAGATTTTACGAATGCCATAGATTAACAAAAGTTCTGCAAATGAACGTAAAATCATTTCTAAAAAGATTTTACGAATGCCATAGATTAACAAAAGTTCTGCTTCTTGTTATGTTTACCCTTATTCGCAAAAACATGAATAAGAAATAGAACATCGGTATATGAGGGTTGACTATGTTGAAACCAAGTTTTCGAAAGACAGGGGAGAGGTTTGGGGACCCTTATCAGCAAATAAGTGTTTTTACTAAACATTCATTTTGATTGAAGGACTTTTAACAAGGGTCAATGGTTTGTTATTGATTCAGCGGAAATGGTCCAACCTATTTCAGTTTTAATGATTACATTGAATAGCAAATGTATTTTCATATGATTGAAGGTTTCAGTTGTACCACAACAGATGTATCTTTTGACCATTAATGTGTCTTCTGATATTCTCAATTAAAAAAAACCCGGAAATTTGTGTGTAAAAGTGCATATAAAAATAGAACGAAGTGTATATATTAATATTCAAATGAATAATTGAATAGCTATCAAACAGGGAAGTGTTTGGTGGAGTTGGGTTTTGTAAAACATCGAATTTTCAATTAGCATTGACAAACTTTATTTCCATTGGGAAATAATGGACATGATCAAAATCAAAAATTTTTGGAAGCCATTGAAATAGTGTAAGAGATAACGATTTGGAACCATATTCAAAAGAGAAAACTAACGACCTGATAAATGCTACAACATTGATGAAAACAAGTATAATGACAGGCAGCAACCAATGCCAACCACTTGATGACAGGATCCTTGCTTGTTGCGAGGTAATTAAATATATAGTTGTGTTAGATAAGATTGGAAGTGCTGTAAACTGGGACATAAGACCAAGCAGTAAAATTAGTTGGAAAGGGTTTTAATCATCAGATCGATACTAATTAAAATAGAACTAAAAAAATATACAAAACATATACTAATCTAATAATATTAAAACTTACTAAAAACTAGTTCAAGGCCCAATTATTAATTGAAATATGTAGATAAACCGCCGTTTTATCGATTACTAAACCTACTATGACATATGACTAGAATTCTGCATGGTCCACACTCTATTGTTATAATAGGACAGTAAGAATTACTTATTCCTTCAGATTTAAGCAACCACTCAACATGCTGATATAATGAAATGCTATATATGTATTAAATAACTTAGTTGTACAAAACAAGAAGATAAAAGTAACTAGAAAAGGATGAAGACAATTATCGTTGAATGGAAATGCCCATATGAGTTTCACACATTACGAAGCAGCGCTTGCATATCCCAGTTGATACAATATACCAGGGCTTGTATTTCCTATCATCATTTCCTTGATATAGTGGTGAGGTTAAAGTCATTTGTTCGTAAATTTAATAGACGCCATCACGAGCTGGGTGACCGTTATTAAATATTCGTTTCACAAATGATAGTGGATATGTTTCAACTGTCGTAACTTCAATCCCGTTCCCCTTTCCCCGAATGCAATCGACCTAATTAGACTTATTACTGGTTTGTTCTAAACATGAGCAAAGCAATCGGGGCAAGAGAAGCAGTATATGCTAACAATACTGGAGCACCTTATAATACACCAGGTTTAGGTGGGTGTCTTTGTTTCCCAGTCTTTAATTTCTTATAGTGTGTTATGTATACTGTTGTTCGTCTGTGGTTTTATGTTGTAATCACTTTGTCATTTTTTTTACTATGAATTTGAATGTCCCTCTGGTATCGTTCGCCTCTCTTATACGTACCCAGTAATAAGTGTTCTCCAAATATTAAAGCTCTACAAGCATTTAATATGACCGTAGGCTCTGTTGGTTTGCTGGTCTTCTTGAATGCAAGAAAACTGTCATAATCCGAATGGTATTCCACACCCGTTTATATATTCCATGACAAATTCACGAGATTCCATTAAAAATATCCCTAAACCTTAACCCTATCATTGACTTTTCCACTTAACTTCGAAATAAAACAACGCTGTCTCCGACATGAATCACGTATTGCTACAATTAGATGTTTCTGATTTGTAACCACACCCTTCATTTAACATTACAGTCTTATGGTCTTTTCATGTTTATTGACATGACATTATTAGTTCGTTTCTGAATTATGAGTTAAAATATCCCTTATGTATCTTTCTCTCATCTCATGAAGATCAATGTAAAACTATTTAACCAACCGTGAAGAGATCCCGAGTGATCACAAAGTAATCACGGCAACGGACAAATTAACTTGTTTGTGGCGTTGATTCATTCATTTGTGATGTCCTGTGCTGTCGTTATTTTCGTTGTTATTCTGCGGTTTACATGTTGTAGTAGTGAACTATCAAATTATGTATTCATGTATTTCTCTGTGTTGAGTGTTCTTCCTGTTGTTTGTACTGTATCCTTGTTACGAAGTGTAGTCATTTTAGCAGTATTATTTATAATTACCATGTACGCGGGAAATTTGGTTAGCCATTGAACAAGGTTTAAACTATTTTCATGTTCTGTACCAAGTCACGGATATGGCAGTTATTATCAAGTTGTCCATTTCTATGTATGTTGACGTTTGTTTATGTTGCAATTCAGTTGTTCTGTTGGTCCGTTGTTTTCCTCTTATATTTGATGTGTTTCCCTCGGTTTTAGTTTGTAACCCGGATTTGTTTTCTCTTAAACGATATATGACTTTTGAACAGCGGTATACTACTGTTGCCTTTATTTTTTCATATAATATATCATCTATATACATAATGTAGCTGAATAATAGGTTAATGACAATGCTATATTTTCATTCTATTTCAAAAAGTGATTAATTAATAAATGTTCATTATTGTTAAACATAATCCATATTTTCAGTAAGAGTTTGTACTATGCTTGATCAACGTATGTTTCTCGCGTTTTTTTTCCACACCGTGTAACAGGCCAGATTTATAGTTATAATGTTAAAGCTTTACAGCAACACATGCACGTTTAATAAACACTACAGGCTTGTAGGAGCATGAATTAATCATTTTGAAAATAGAAAGGCAATACTAAAATCATCAGAATCAGAGGCATCCATCTTTTTCACACTTTTGAATAAGTTTGATACTGATTCACTCGAAAATGTTCGCAGAAAGACAAAAATTGGTAACAAAATGTTATTCAAGGACAGTAAGTTCTATAAGAAGTCCATACAGTTCATATACTTATAGCTTAAAATCTTGCTGAACATTTAAGCAATTCACAGTTTGTTTCCTTCTTTGAATCAAATTCATCGCGATGATACACCAAACACGCAAAGATAGTCGAATACGAACTGACAATACCATGGCCAAAAAAAAAAAAAGAAAAATGAGCAAAAGACAATTAACAGTCTACATACACATCATAAAAACCTAAGATTTTGGTTTCATATGAAATAGTTTCTAGAAAAGTGACGACAGACAGGACCGACATTAAGTACATTACCTTGCATCGCCCTCAAAATGGAACTAGAA